CGAACAGTGGACTGCTTGCAGAGGACGAAGTCCAGAGGTTCATAAAGCAAACCTTGGACACAGCAGCATATCGACAGGCCTGAGCGGAATTCTGGACACACAACCACCTTATGTGGACGAGACGGAGCTACGTCTGCCTACATCTCTTCGCATGCCCATAAAACCCCACACAGCTAACGCGTCTGTCCCTATAGAGGTTGCACGCTTTTTAGCTGAGCTTGACGACAACGACTGAAATACTAGCCGATCTGGGCAACAAAAGAAATAATGGTCTGATTATGTGCATTCCAATAGCCCTATAATTTCATATCTTAGCTTCTTAAGTCGCATACTTAAAGTAGCTAAAACTTTGTGTGATTTGTGGAATTTTGTGGTTATCAAGTGCTTATTTTAAAATTATAATCTCTAAAAAATATATACGTCCAAAACTATAACTATGCTTAAATATATGTATATACATATGTATGCAAGTGTGAATAGTTTAAAACATAAATTGTGATTGGCTTATCTAATTACAAAAAAATACACTACTTTGATAAACCAAGCCGACGTTCCGTTGGGAGCGAAGCTAATCGCAGGCCTTACTTTGAATATGAATAATACGCTTAACTAAGATAATAAAAAAATAAAAAAGCAAAATGTGAAGATAAAGTAACGTGCCGAGATAATTAAAAATTCAAGCCGGTTGCAACGTGCACGACTACGTATGCTAATTAAAAGTAGCAAAAAATAACATAAAAATTATCGTGGGAGAGTATCTACGCGTCTGATTCGCTTGAACACTTTTCGTTCCATACTTACTTGAATATTGAGCGCACATCCAATAACTGTATAGCATATGACATAGCGGAAGATATCTCTTTGGCACGTTTTTCCTAAAAAATCAAAAATAATAATAATTTAACTGATTATTAAATTTTCAATGCTATATAATGACTCACCTTGGGTAATGTTTCTTTAAGTTTAAATGCAATAACACCCAAATCACACATGGCTAATGCAAAGGCACACAATGAAGGTGCCACATACCATGATTCCCATGATTTATTCAATGAACGCGCAAATAAGGCACCAATTATAGGACCGGCAATGAAGCCTACTGAAAATGCGACACCCACTAATGCCATACCAAACGAACGTGTCTTCACACTGGAGACATCAGTGATGATGGACATGCATAGCGATATATTGCCTTTGCTGATACCGCCCACAAATCGAGCCAGCACGAAAAGTGCGAAATTACTTGAGAGCGCCCAAAGTAGATAGGATAAAGCAATACCAGCCTATTAAATAAGAGTAATGCATGCATAGGTATAAGAGTTTTCCAAATTTATTGTTACTCACCCCACATATAAGCATTAAAGGCTTGCGGCCATAGTAATCCGATAGTCCACCCACAATGGGACTTGCCACAAATTGCAAAAAGCTGAACATGGAACCCAGGAATCCGCCATACAGCACCGATGTATATCGTTCTGGTGCGCCCACCAGCTGCTGGAACCAGTGTATGCGCCGCGTCAGCAAGTTATACAAGCCGGAGCTATCATTTTGTCGATAGTGCTCGAGCAAAGAAGGCATTAGTGGCAGGATCATGGTGAAGGCGAGTAAATCAAATAGGAGCGATATGAAAACGACACTCACCATTGACCGTTCATTACTTTTGCCTGCTCCACCATCGGTCAATTCTGCGCCCTTCAGTTTGTCATGGCCTTTACTCTTAATCGCCTCGGCACCATTGTTGTTATTTGTAATTTTGTCGCCATTACGGCTTTTTAATGCAGTCGCCGCAGTCATGAATATGATTCAATAAAAACTGTTGTTAACAAAACTATATTTTGCAAATATAATTTTAAAACTATTATTTCCAGTTTTTTTGGAACTTTATTACAGCACAATAGTCATGTGCTGAACCGGATTGGCTGAACGACTCTTCATTTGTGAAGTGAAAGTTAATCCAATCATCGGCAGACAATTCAACAAGCTAGTAAATACAGAAGTAGTTATATGCAGAAAATAGCAACAAATATAAACAAAAACATAACATTCACAAGTGTTGCCACAGAATGCAACTGGTTTTCGTCAATTAAATTTAAATCCACTGTGAATAAAAATGTGCCGTTTACGAAAAATTTTGTTTTGCAAATTTGTTAACTTCTGTAATTTAAAAAACCAAAGAATGTAGATGACCACTGATTAAGCGCTATTTGAACGAATTCCTATGATTAGCATGTGCTACGAAATAGTTTTTCGCATTTTCTGACGCACGTTTTATTTTGAGTTGTGGCTTGACTTTTGAAGACAGTGTGCGATTTTTTTCAGAGTGACTACTGTGAGTGTAGCTTTGTGGAAGAAGTGCGAGATTTTGATGGGACTACCATTGCAATTTACAAATTTTTGTTGACCAGCCAGTTTTATCCGTACTCTTTTTTTCCAAAATAACGCCAAAAAAACTGTGAAATTATGTCCAAAGTCACTGTGCAGGACATTGAAGCTGTGGACGACTATTGGGGACCAACATTCCGCTCTATTTTGGAAGGTACATAATTATTTAATAAGTAGAAAATGTCCTCCCACAATTGAGTTTTCTCCTATCTCTGGATTAAGGCAATAATACTGAGTCCCTATCGGAGCAGCTGGAGCAGCGTATTCGCAGCCATGATAAGGACATCGAACGCATATGCAATCTATATTACCAAGGCTTCATAGACTCCATACAGGAACTGCTGCAAGTGCGCACACAAGCTAAGCAATTACATGACGAGGTACACACATTGGATCGCTCATTGCAGCAAATGAGTGCATCGGTGTTGCAGCAAGGACAAGATTTAGTGCGCGCTCGCCAAATCGAATCAAACTTAGCCAGCGCTATTGATGCGCTCCAAGCATGTCTGCCGGCACTTGAGTGCTACATCAAATTTACCCAACAAGCAAATAACAAACAATATTACCAGTCATTGCGCACATTGGAAACGTTGGAATCGCAGCATCTTGTTGGACTAAGCAACTATCGCTTTGCCACTCAAATACGGCAAGCCATTCCAATTATCAAAGAGAATATTAGGCGTTCTGCCGAAGCAGACTTTCGCGAATTTTTGGAAAATATACGTAAATTTTCGCCCAAAATCGGTGAAGTAGCTATAACGCATACAAAAAAACTGCAAAAGCGTGATATAAATGCTATCATTGAGGAGCACAAGAAGTTGCTGCAGCATGACAATCGCGAAGAGGAGAACGATTTAAGTGCACAGGATCTTATAGATTTCTCGCCAATATACCGTTGCTTGCATATTTATATGGTATTAGGGCAGCGTGAATACTTTGAAAAGGACTATCGCCAACAGCGACGCGATCAGTCAAAACTGGTTTTGCAACCGCCGCCAGGCATGCACGACAACTTGGAGGCATACAAAACTTATATCTGTGCTATTGTTGGCTTTTTCATTGTGGAAGACCATGTGAAGAATACGGCTGGCGATGTGGTCACAACTTCGTACTTGGAGGACTTGTGGTCCACTTCCTTAACGAAATTCGTAAATGAGATTAGCATGGCATCGTCATCCTGCACCGATCCTAACATACTTCTGCGCATAAAAAACCTTATAATGCTGTCAATAAACACTTTCAAGTGCTATGGCTACACGGTGAACATGCTATTCGAGTGCTTGCACAATATGCGCGATCACTACAATGAGGTGGATTGAGTGATATACATAACTTATTTTTTAATAATGTGCTTAAACTTGTCTTTTTTACAGGTACTTCTGCAACGCTGGGTACATGTTTTCCGTGACATTCTGGACAAGGAGCAGTTCCAGCCCATGATCGTTGAAAGTCAAGAGGAGTATGAGGCCATCATTGAACGCTTTCCATTCCATTCGGAGCAGCTCGAAAATGCGCCTTTTCCAAAGAAGTTTCCCTTTTCACGCATGGTACCCGAGGTCTACCATCAGGCTAAAGAATTCATGTACGCTTGCATGAAATTTGCCGAAGAGCTAACACTATCGCCCAATGAAGTGGCTGCAATGGTACGTAAAGCAGCCAATTTGTTGCTGACACGCAGCTTTAGTGGTTGTCTTTCCATGGTGTTTCGCAATCCAAGCGTTGCGCTGCCGCAACTTATACAAATTATCATCGATACACAATACTTGGAAAAGGCTGGTCCATTTTTAGATGAGTTCGTTTGCCACATGACGAACACGGTAAGCAATATATCGCAAACACCCTCGGCCATGTTTCATGTGGCACGTCAAGAGGCTGAGAAACAAGTTGGTGTGCGCATATGCTCCAAAATGGATGAATTCTTCGACTTGGCAGCCTACGATTGGCTGCTCATTGAACCACCAGGCATCGCTTCCGCTTACATCACCGATATGATATCCTATTTGAAGAGTACATTTGATAGTTTTGCTTTTAAGTTGCCGGGCATTGCGCAAACAGCTTGTCGGCGTACTTGTGAACACATTGCAAACAAAATCTATGATATACTCTACGATGAAGAAGTGAAGCAAATTTCAACTGGCGCATTACAGCAAATCAATTTGGATCTGTTGCAATGCGAGTTCTTTGCTGCCTCTGAGCCCGTGCCTGGTTTGCGGGAAGGCGAACTTTCCAAATTTTTTCTCAAAAACCGACAATTGCTTGACTTGCTCATAATGGAGGAATGGAGTACGTATTTGCATGATTATGGCAAGCAAGAAAATCGTTACCACTTGGTCCATCCCCAATCGATTATCACCATTTTAGAAAAGATACGCGAGGCAGATAAGAAAACAATGTTCTCAGTGTTACGTAAAAATGACAAAAAGAAGCTGTTGGACACTGTGCTGAAACAGTTGAAGCATCTAACTGAGCGGCAAACTTAGATGGGATGTACCTTTTATGGTGGGGAAAATTTTATAGTACTAAGCGCAATAGATAACATAAAATAAAAAAATTATAATATTGGCCTGAACAAACGCATCTTTTGTATTTCAGCTATAATTGAATTCCGTTCGTTGAGATGCTTTCTTGTTTTAAATTTATTTATAATTGTATTATTTATATAAAAGAATTGCAACTTTGTTTACGTTTCGTGTTATGATACATATGTATATGCGACATAATTATAAATTCTTTGACAATTTTTTTATGCATCATTGAGTTAAATATTTTGATGTAATATATACAAAGTATTAGCAATAATATATAATTATTATTATAATAACCTTATATGTATGCCATATGTTTGTATGTGTCTTGTCTTATTGATCCAGTTGCACATCATTTAATTTCGTGATTGTTTGCCTTACCCAATTTCTGTTTTTCTCAGGGTACCAGAACAAATGCATTTATAACATTAATCAAATCTATGCCACGTATTCGTAAATATATTCTCTTTTCTGGTGTCAACTTTTCACTTCTAGGTGTTTTGGTGCATCCGCATATGTGAATTTGAGACGAAACGCTTCCGCAACTAAAACATTTATCTGACGGTCGGACCAATTTTCGGTTGGCAGATTTTGTAGCAGCAGCAAGAGGCCCTAAAAATGCATTTGTGGTTAAATAAAAGCTTACGAACGCCAACCTGAACTAATTCGAAAGTCTAGCTCACTTGAAAATCGTTTTGTTGCATTAATCTATCCTTCCAATGTAATAGAAATGCCGCACATACATACAAATGGAAGAGTGCAAAACCATCAGACTCGGCGAGGTATGTGTCCCACAAGCGTATGGTGCAATGCAGTGGCAGCTCACGTGTTAGTAAATTATTCATCCAACGAAACGAAAACTGCAGGTAGTCCACGCCGTGTGCTTGCAAGTGGCGATGCAGATTTCCTAAAATTAATCATACTACAGCTTTTCTGGACACGCGAATGTTTTGTTCTTAACGTACCATCAATCCGCTGTATAAGATCCTTTAATTGATTTACCTTCTCTTGTATACCTAATTGCGCAAATATGTAGTTGTCCTGGATGCAATCTAGAAATTTGGAGAGACACCAAAATGAATCTGCTTCAATGGCGTCCCTTTTGTCCACTGATAGGTTATCAATATTGAATTTTTCCAAATCGGTGCCTATTTGAGGGAAAAAATTTCGATTTAACCGCATTAAATCCATTATATTTATTTAGATTACCTGGCTCCAATACTTCTTGCAAGAACACAATAAAAAATGGGGTCACCAAATCATTTATGCCCTGTACATACCCCGAGGCTGGGTGACGTATGGCCCAAATGAATAAAATTCGCTCAAACATTTCCTGCACGAGCTTTTGTTGAAATAGTGATATTTGTGGATTCATACGGGGTACGTCGATATGTATCTAAATAGAACATTTCCAATGTTTATTAATTAAAAAAAAAATACATATACATTCTAAAGGGCTGCAAGAATCAACTCGTGAGTTACCTCGAGTCTAGCGCCGCTGTTGAGTTAGACTCGAGTTATGGGATGAATTCATGAGTTAACTCTTGCAGCCCTTTAATACATATATATATCGTCGTTTAAAGTACAAAACCGCGTATTAACAAATCAAGATAATGCAAATCCGCGTATGTGAGGTTTCATAAATTATTTTCTAGAGAGTAAAAATACTCATATTTCAAAATGGTTATCTTTTTTTATAAAGCAGACGCATTTTTGGCTAGTATATTTTAGGACGAATGGATAAGGATTGAGCCCAGAGCTTGTGTGAGCAAATCCAATTTTTGGCAGCAAATATCAGTTACGCGGTTTTGCAGAATGACGATACGCGGTTTTGTACTTTAAACGAGTTTAGGCAGCTGTAAGACTTTAATTTCCTATTCAAATGCAATTGGCTCAAAAACCACTCTTATTACACACCTGCCTGTAGGTGTCCTGTTGCGATTCGTCCTGGCTGTCGACTCTAAAATAATTATGCCGCAAATCCTGATAGCCCTGTCTCTTGCTTTCGAGCACCGCATTGCGCCTCTCCCCAGCTGGTGGTAAATATTTTGATAACAGCCGCCAACTAACTGCACGCATCTACCAAAATAAAAGTAATAAAATAGTAATTGGTTGATTTAATGAGCAGATTTCAGCAACGTTACATGTAATTCCGATTTTACACAGGTTGCACATACCTTCTTTGGTACCCCCGACCAGCTGAGCTTCTTTAGCGCCACCAAATCTAAAAGTGGCGAGTCTAGCAACAGTTGGAATTTTTCAATTTTAGTCTCATATTCGGTTTCTTGCGCATTTGAACTAAACTTCTGTAGCTGTGGTCGTCCCGGATATGCATGAAAATTGCGCACAACTTTCATTCTATAATTAAAAGAGTATTTCAGTTCGTTCGTAGTCACAAAAGGCGATTTAATTTATTACCTTGCTTCAGTATCGTTCTTCGAGTCATTTGATGGAGCTCCTTCCTCGCTTGTTTGACTGATTGAATGCTGCAATCTGTGGCGTTGTAGTTGCTGCTCTGACTTTATTGTCACGGTTGGCACTCTTGTTGATTTCGCGTTTGCTGCACTCGATGTAGCTGCTGATGAGCGTACGGTGGAAGTGGTTGCTGAATTTCGATGCGTTTCAATAACATTTAACGCCGCTGTTTGCGACACTTTTTTTGATATACGCGAATCTAGCAAAATGTGGTGATCAAAGTTATTGTAAAAAAATTTATAAATTGCATTTAGAAAATAACGCATGCAGTTTAATTTTACACCTACCATTTGCCGAAGCAGCACTTGCTGCTGCTCCTGACATTATGCAGAATTCGTCATCACCTGTGTCCCAAGCATCGCTTACAGACTGCTGATAATCACGAAATGTGGATACCATACCGTCACCTTTGCCACCGCTTGTACGAACCAAATCTCCGTCAACACTGCTGCTGATTAAACTCGTGTCGTCACCGCGCTTAGGGCTTGGACGTCCTGGCACCAATCGCCCACTGTTCTTCCAAAATGATGAATTTGTACCGCTGCTACCAATGTTGGTGATGACCCCAATATTACTGCTATTAACCTTCGTTGCTGTTACTGTGCTGGCCGTGATGTTACTGCTTTTGTTGCTGCCGTTTTGTCTTGCACCCTCTACATTATTGTCCATAGTATGCGCAAATGCCAATATCCTAAATTACCATTTATATATTTTTGGGTTCCATGAAGATTCCATGCATATATGTATATGTTCCAAAAGGTTACATTTGCTTTATTATGCCGAAATGTAATTGCCAAGTAGATTCCAGTGCGCTGATTTCTTCTGCATCTATATACCTATTTTCTTGTATGTATTTTACTAGGTCTGCTTTATGCCAAACAAATTTTACGAAAACATGATTATATTCTTATTAAGAATAAATAAATACGTGTTCAGCTAGTGAATTAAATAAAAATCAGAAAAATTACTCCTAGTTCGACTGAAGATGCAAGCGATGCATCGATTTTCCCGATAACTGGTGCGTATTCCCACAAGTTGTAAATGCATTCTTTGGTTTGGTATTAAATGCACTACCAGAAATCGGTTCGGGACTCGGTTTTGGGCATTGTGTACAATGTGTAATTTTCGCCTGCGGCGTTTTTTCTAAAAAATCCAATACTTCCATATATCTTAAAAATTTTCACCTGCGACCCTTTTTTTAGGAATTCTTCCATATATAGTGAAAATATCCAATAAAAAAGCTATAACATATATGTACATGTCCACTTTATTATTTACGTTTTCATTGATCCCTTTTCAGTACTTTTTTTTACACATTTTTTGTGATGCAGCACCGCAATTTCAGTTCACTCGATGTACAAAGGAAAATGTGAGTTTAAATTTCACTTTTTTTTTACAACTTTAACAACGAATTACTTAAAAACTAATGCCTCAGGAGAGGGGGGGGGGGTCAGATTTAGAATTACAAAAAGCCGCTGTAAACCCCCTCTTTTTTTTTCAAAGCCTGGTCCATTATTGGAAAATTTTCCCATACAAATATATCAAACCTTTTGCCATATTAAAAAAAAAAATCAACAAAAAATTCGAGCTTTTAATTACATTTATTAGAACGATTTTTTGTATGCAGTTTTGTAGCCCATTATTTATATTTTTTTTAATTGCAAGACTGTTGATTAGTATATATTTTCTTTTTAGTAACGGTGTTGCCTGTTTTTTTCCAGATAAAAAGAAGAAAATGCGCAACACTGAGTGTGGAAAATGAAATGAAAATATGTGCATACCTGCGTTGTGATTTTTTGGTAGCTACTTAGGTTAAGCTTCTGTTGCGGGTTTTCGCAAAAATTTGCAGAATACGAGAATGTAAAAGGCCTCCCAACTTGTAAAATTTTACAAATGTATATATGTACTGAGTGGGGTGACATTTTTATTGTTGCTAATATTATTGAGTAATAAGAGTTCCAATTTTTGTTAAACTATGTTCCCATTGGCGTAATTTAGAGGTCAATCTTAATTTACGCATAAATTAAGTACAAACTAAGTAATTTCGCCTTGTAAAGTCTCTCAGTAAATTAAGTTGAAAGTACGTAGTTTATCTTAAACCAAGAACCAAATCACGAACAAATCAGTGTCGGCTCTAATTTTATCGATAATAATCGAAAAAAGTATTGTCCCATAACTGATATGTCATTGTGTTTGGAGTGTTTTGTTTTTAATAATCGCGCGTGGTAGTTTGTAAAATATTTCCAGAAGCTTTCTCTTTTGATCACTCATCTAAAATCTAAAAAATTACCACAAACAACTCAGAATATAAAAATATACGCAATTACTCACATTCGCGATCTCTTTTGGTTAAATAAACAATAACACAGGGTTGCTACAAAGCTGTCAAGGCAAATAAAGAATCGCGTGTATGAACGCACTTAATTTAGTGAGGTATTTTAAACGAAACTAAGTATTTTACGTTGGTAATGTGAACATAGTTTTACGTAATATTTACTCATACATTATTATGTGATATGTTGTGTGATGCACTAAATTTTCGATGGTTTCTTTGGATTATTTTCAAAATTAGTCGGTTAATCGCTCGATTAATCGAAAGGAAAATTTCAATACAATTAAATCGTTAAGCGAAGGAAAATAACCGATTATAATCGGTAAGTCGATTAACCAAGCCATCACTATTTTACACCTGTTTTTTGCGGAATAGCGAGATCCGTGATAACAAATTGCAACCAACATTTTGCATTTAAATGCAGTAAACACATTTACATCGTGACATTTACCAAATGTTCTTTGTCAAACACAAGTCAATTACTGCAAATGGATATATATTAATAATTGCAAAATGGAAACCCAGCTGGAAATTGTTACAAACTTGAAGCGCATTTTCGAATGTTTTCTCGATGCGAATTTCGTCACAACGAATAATGTTTACTTTGAAAAGCTCATATCGCACTTAGCTGCCAAAGGTAGGTGGTTTCATATCAATATCATCCATTAATGTTCCCTTAATAATATTTACAAAATTATAGATAACGCTTACCTACTGCAGGCGCC